AATCTGTCGGATAATAATATATTGTTCTTTTCCAACGTATTGTTCTTTTTCACCTGATATTAATCGTGATTTATAAGAAGTTATAACTTTGATTGTGAAGTACGAACAGTTACTTTTCTTTGTTACAAAATGTGCTTAATAGTTTTTGTATTGTTATAACTTCCATTTATGTGATATAAAGTTTTCTCTCTCTTTTTTTTTTCGCGTTGACAAAATTGACAAATAAATGTGATAACATTTTTCTGAATGAATAATTTAAGGTACACACTGATATTATGTTGTAATTTCAATGACAAATCAATTAGTGTAATTTAAGAAAATTAGGAAATAATATAATTTTAACACTGGCCTACATGAATTTGGAATACATTCTTTCTTCTTCCGGGTGAAATTTCTCATTATTCTGCAGTGAATCGACTGTCGTATGTACAACTGCAGCGAAATGAATTTTCTTCACACTCGAATAATCCGGAATGTCGTCTCTCATTCGTATATATGTGTATGTGTGTACCCGATTCGCATAGCTATAAAAATTCCTTCATAAAGTCGATGCGGTTCGCTTCTCTTGAAAATTTGGAAATCTGTGCCAAATAAAGAGAAATCGTAGCAACCGTGTGTGTGTGTGTGTGTGTGTGTGCGCGCGCGCGCGCGCGGATCAAGTATGATATTCTACACGCGCGGTCTCGATCGTAAGATAAAAACGCCGTTTTATCGCGGTTGTAATAAATCGCGGGGCGCGCGCGCATTATATTATATGACGGCGCTCTAAGTCGCGCGTTTCAGTTCAGCGGAAATGCTTAATCCGCAGAGGGAGATTGGGCAAATGGGCAAATGAAGTCTGAGCCTCGAGATTTGTGTTCCCGGGAAAAACGATCTCGGCTCGTTCACCGTCGCGTTTCTGTGCTCTCCTATCGTCCGTCCCTTACCTTTCCTTCCCATTCTTCTATGAAGAATAAACTTTTCCGCCCCGCCACCTAGTTACTTGCAACTAGGACGGACGGTTCGAAGTCGGCAAACGCGGACCAACATTAATTCTTTTCCTCTCCTAGGGGAAAATCCAGAGCGATCTCTCTTTGTCTACCTTTTTGTAAGTTTTCGTACGATAGCGAGATGGATCTGACGACGATCTCGCGCGACGCAAGAACCACCGCCGTCGGCGTATTGGAAATAACAGATAGAATCGATCGGTTGGATCCCTACTTTGATTAATAATATCTATAATATATATGTATATATATAATATACACATGTGTACAATGTATGTATCGGTTTCAAGTGCATTCGCATTGTGTCGTATAGCGCTTTGCGAGTGGCGTATTGTGCACCATATTAGAGTCAGATTGCACGGATATAACCGAAATAATCGTAGGAATTAGATACAAAGATCGTTGCGATTGTTACGATTCTCACGTGGATTATGATAGCTTAATTTGAAAACTGTCACTGTACATTATAGTATCTTAGAGAACATCGTGTACATAAAGTAGATAACTGACACACATAGAGATTTTCCGAAAGAATTGTTTGCAAAAAATCTTCACCACGCCTAAAGCGACTGGTGTTACACGTATTAATTGATGACAATTGATAAACGGTCATAATTTTAATTATTTACGTTACTTACATTTATCTCAATCTTAATGATTTGCGCTATTTCTTTGCGTGGCCATTTATATTTTATTCGCTAATGTCTTACATATTTAAAATCACTTATGATATTATTTTATTTGTATAATTCGTTCATATCAGTGCGTCTATATACTTGTATCTCGCTCTCTCTCTCTCTCTCTCTCTCTCTCTCTCTCTCTCTCTCTCTGTCCCTCTCCCTCTCTCTTTCTCTCCCCTCCCTCCTTCCCCTTTCTCTCTGTCGATATAACCAACAGAATGAATGGTATAATTATAGCATAATTCAATAATCGTCTCTGTCCATGTAGAATTCGCAAATACTAAAATATTTTACGTATAATATTTTTAATTTTTGTTTAATTATTCCTTGGAATTGTTACTAATAATGTTCACGTCAGAAAATTTTATTTTCAAATATTTTTTGCTTATTAAAAAAAGTCGTAAGTTGTATTAACATATAGTATAAAAAAATAGTCATTTTGTGTGTGGAATTATAATAATAGAAAAAAAATTAATAATATATAAAATCAATAATATAATTTTTAAAACGCATATAAAATGACCAAAGAAATATGTGCGGGTTAAATAGAAGTGTTTGAGGGAATTATTTTATATTCATCTATATATATATATATATATATCTTACGTGAGATAAATATGCTAATTTCTATATTAAACAGCTGGTCTCGCATATGTGTGATATTAAATCAAAAGATCTTTTGTGTTGATAAAAATGAAGGTTGAAAAGTTTTTATTTGAGCAATGAGAAAATAGCTTAATGGTAAATTAGATTAATTATTAGCATAGATTAACAGAAAATGTTTTTAAAATATAATATGTGAATTATATATATATATATATACGTGTGTGTGTGTGTGTGTGTGTGTGTGTGTATGTGTATAGGGATACGCTCCAATTAGTTGATCTAAAAAATCTATATTTTTTCTTCTTTTCAGCAAACAGTTATTATTATCATTAGAATCGAAAAAAATCACGTTTTCATTTTGATAAAAGAAAAATATCGACCAATGGTCAGGTTGTATTTAAATTCTCATTAAGTAAATGTAACTTTACACGATCTTGTCTACATATTTGTCGTATAGCGATTCAATGCAAATAATCATGGCAGGTCCAATAACCGTGGCATTCGTGCAATCGATTACTACGGTGTGGAAACACGCGTCTCTCTTCTCTCTCTCTCTCTCTCTCTCATAATGTTTCTCTCATTTTCTTTAGTAAAAAGAAAGGCGATGCGCGTGTTCTTATTGATCCCGCGGCTATGCTAATAATCCATTCAACAAATGCCACAGTCTTATCAACGAATTCCACATTGGTTCCCTCACATCAATTCATCCGATCAGCTACTATCCCTTTGAATTACTCTTTTTCCATCAACCACTTCGACTATCATCTTATCAGGGATCAGAAAAAAGCAGGGAGTAAATCAAAGAGGAATAATAATAAAAATCCAAGAAAAAAGAGAAGAAAAGAGAAAGAGCAAGAGGATAAAATAGAACTAAAGGAACTAGAGTTTATCAATTAGAGTTTTAGGAATCTGTGCAGATAAATTATATTATATACAATTAACTATAAAAATAGTAAGTTAAATTATATATATATATATATATATATATAATAGAAAGTATGATAAACTATTTATACAACTACAGTTAATAAATTAAGGTAAAGACAAAAAAAAATAGACAAAAATTAAAAATCTTGAATAGTAGGAACAACATTACTAAGAAAATTAATGCTAATGACAGTTGAGAGAAATCCTGAGGGAGTCTTAGAAAGTTAAATAGGAAGTATAAAGAAAGCAAGTGATAGAGAGCGAGACGCGAGAATATATGTACGCACATACGCTCGTAGACAGACAGGCATAGACATGCATACTCTTAAACATTACAGAACCAGACGCGCGAGATGTATTTATCGATTTATCGTTGTGGTGTATTGCGCGTCACGTACGTGCGTATGAGCGAGTACATTTCCGCTAATGCACGCGCTATATTGGGCATATAAGATTTATGATGCTGGAACTTATCTTTTCTCTCTCTCTCTCTCTCTCTCTCTCTCTCTCGTTCGCTCGCCAAATCGAATATTATACGAGATCAGCGAAGAAGAATGGGCTAACATTGTCTCTTTGGAAATTTCGGAAGAAGAAAATCCCGGAATCTCGCGTCGTGATCTCTTTTGAAGAGTCGCTGGAAAATGCATTGCGAAGATCTCGATTTGATGGAACGAAGTGAGAAATATTGTTACCCGGTTGTGTTTCCGTAGAACAGCGTAGCAGGTGTGCGAGATATCGTTCTCTCTCCATCTCGCATCCCGCATTTTCGCGTATGATTATTTCGCGAGAATCTCATTCGTACTGACGTAGAAGCATCTGTTTACTGGCAGATTTTCTTACAGGATTTTCTGTCTTATGGAAATAATATTCTGTCTTAGGTCTCATTAATATGCGGTCTCATTAATTGGCAGATCTATTCTAAACCTTCCGAGAATCAATCGGTCGTAGTTTGATCATTCTATCGTTCATTTGCCGCTTTTCCGGTTATTGTAACACAGTCAGGTATAGAATACATCCACTATTCGTATGTTGAGCAAACATAACCGAAGTGTTAAGCGATTGCTTTGATTAAGCGCTGATCAAAGTCTTTGTTGGTGACGAGGAGTAGTAATGAAGTACCGGTGAATATATTTATGTATATATATATATATATATATGATTCTTTTATTTTTATCTAGATTTGCGATTAATTTTGGACCCTGCGATGTAAAATGATTATTCATCGAGTTTGGACAGCGTGCCGTACGCTGCCGTTCGTATGTACATACATACGTACATACCTCGCATATATGTACGGACAATGCATGATGGAGAACACAACCTGCGATTAATCGTTTTTATGCCGATTTACTCTTTCGCGATATCTCGTTTAATCGTTTTCAACGAACGAAAGATTGATTATTATTGCTGTACAGTTAGGCTATAATAGAGGAACCTGTTTGTAAAATAGAACTTCTGTGTTTCTTATATTTGCTTTCGTACGAAAGAAACTACATGAATATACTACGTACATACGCACACCAGCACGCATCCATATACCCTACACGTACGTGACAGAATTATTAAATCCTATACATGCGTAATCCTTTCGTTAAAAGTAACATCGAAGATTCACGATTGGAACGTCGGACGTTTAAAGGGGCTATCTCGAGCCCACGACGCGCGAAAAATCTAATTAGTAGGAAACGTATATCATATGTAATGTCTCGCGTTTTCATTTATTTGTCAGTAGATCTGCCGATGATCTTCAACGTTGGTGTTGACGTAACCGATCACGAATCACGGTGTTCATAGAGTATTCCTTCCTCCTTCGATCGCGTATCTTTTATCGCAATCATCCATGCAACACGTATAAATATGCATACGATTGAACACTCTTCAATTTATACGTTCTGTGCGATTGTGCGTCCTTTACTCGCAGCGATAAGCTACTGGCCTCAGATAGCGTGCTATGAAGTTTGCAACTCGTTCAATTATTTTTCCACGATGAAACTGAGGGTGTATCTACACAAACATGTGCATGCTGCGTTGCATATACGCAAATTTGAATTGTCATGCCTTTCATAAATGTGACATGAGATTAGGCACGGAAATAATATCCTCCATCCATAGCACGTTTCTCCCGCTTGCGGGTTTCGCTTCTTATCCTCTATATTCTTTTTGTGGAAGAAGAATCGTTAGAATTGGTAAAAAAAATGCGCGGGGGATGGAGGAAGGAGCGATATGCTGCCTCTTGGTCTTCGAAGCGATTCGCTTTATAAGGTACGTCACAAGTTCGAGTAAGTAAGTAATCCGTGCGCGTGGCGGATTATATTCCCTTGGCCAGCCAAGCGAATAGTGGATTTTTCGTTGATCTGTCGCATGCAGCATGTACAAAGTTCGTGTGAGTTGTGTAAAAGTAGTGGAATTCGATTCTCTGCTCGTTAAGGGGGACTTGTTTAATGGATCTTTCTAGTGATTGAAATGTATTGAAAACACATTGTATCTCAATAAGATTTTTCATACTCTAGTTTTACCATTTGATAACGCAGAAAGTAATATTTTCTTGAATTTCGACGATTTTATGAAAAAAAAGTTCTTTTCTAATCAGTTATAGATCTCGCGTTTTTTGTAAAGAGGTAAAGTTGATTTGACGGTCGCAAAAGAAGTCAATTTTTTGGAAGATAACAACAATTCTGAAGGAACATACGAATTCAGAGACGTGTGCTGTCTCTTCTCGATTCTTATTCTTCACACGTGCGATTCTGCAGTTCTTTTCAGTGCTCGCTTTGTATTCCGAAAAAATCAGCGGGAAAACTTTTTTCGATCCGAAACGCAAACTTCTCGTCTTGTCGTAAACTTCTCACATTTCCGATTCCATCTTTCGCAAATGTTTCCGCGGCATTGTAAAATTTCACCTTCTTCTTATGATTAAAGTTTCTCTCGAGGATAGCTCGAGGAAACAGATCGGATGTTGCGCGATGCGATCGAGAAAACATCCTCGGAGTACTATCGGAGTATTCTCTCATACCCGAGGACGGAAAGTATAATTATCGTTAGCGTCTCTCTTGGTCGACGCTGACATATTGTATCGCTCACTTAAACAATATTCGGCGGAAAGCACGGCGGAAATCCTTATTGAAGACTGTATAAATGAAGGGATTCAACGCCGAGTTGGTGTAGCCGAGCAAGGTATTTCGAAATCAGGAAATAGTGGCTTGACGATGTAAAGAACAAAGAAGGGCAACCAACAAGCGATAAAGCTGCCCATTATGAAACCCAGTATCATCGTGGCGCGCTTTTCCTTCTTCCTTGCCAGTCTCCTCTTCTCTCTCTCCGGATCGCGTTGCTTCATCTTCCCGTCGGGCTCGTCCTTGCCCGCGTGACGCCCCACATCAGCGTGTTCCCTCTTCGACTTACCTACGTGCTTGCGGCCGAAGATCGGCTGGCACAGTCGCAGCTTGAGTGGTTTTACCACCGCGCATCTCGACACCACGCCACTATCCGACGACGAGGGGTCAAACTCGGACACCATGTCGACGTCGATACCAACGCTGGGCGCTCGGCATCGCGCTGCCACCGCCGCCGCCGCTGCCGCCGCCGCCGCCGTCGCCGATGCCGATGCCGATGCCGATGCCGATGCCGATGCTGATGCCGGCACATTTTGACTTCCTGTCTGCCCGTCCCCGTTCACCGACAGGGTCGCTTTCAGGTTGCTCTTCTGCGCCGGTACCGGTATACTCACCTACGACAAAATACGCAGTTATCCTATATAAGTATAAAACATTAAACATGAACGATCAAACATTTCAATTTCTCAAGTCATTTCTTTCTTTTTTATATACATTATAATCGTCAGGTATAAATCTGATATTTTAAATTACTGGTACAAATAAGTTTTTTTTTTTATAATATTTAAGAAAGTTGAATGGAAAATTATCTCTCGCTTGAGGTAAATCTAATGTTAAAATTAAACTTAAGTAGGCAATCATCAAGTAATCGCTGCACATTTTATGCACGTGCATATATGTGTGATATAACAGTCGCCATATCAGCACTGTCAGCGCTACGTGGGCATATTACTTTGCCAGAACAGGTTCTTTGCAACTTTCTAGATACGCAATATTATAAACTGTTAGTTTTGAGATAAGATTTTGAATATGCAGTAAATTTGTGAAACATTGTTGAAAATTAATTCACCGCGAAAGTGAAAAATTCCCATAAAAAATTTCTCAACAATCATATTTCGAATTTTTATACGAAATAAAAGTTAATTTAAATGAAAACTTTATTGAAACTTTATTAAAACACGATACACGGTAATAGAATATTATAGTATTTTATAGGTGCTGTAATATTCTGAATTGTGAAGTCAAGAGCAAATTATTCATTTCCCAACTCCTTTCTTTGTTAAAGTCGATCAGTTCCACATGTAAATTTCTTTAAATCTCAGAAATCTGATAAAATTGCACGTTACGTGCGTCTATTCTCATGCGACGTATGATTTTCATACGAATGGGCAAGATTATCACGAGACTCTTTTGACATGCAGCTGTTATATGCGAAGCCCGGAGGTAACAAAGGCGGGCGTGTTCTTGCGCTCAAGTTTGAATGAGAATTCGTGTAATTGCGCGACAGTCGAAATGGGAAACTCATCCCCGTGCAATTATCTCCCTGTCTCGGTATAAAACTGTATTTTCGTACGTAATTACGAACAACGCGAGTTCGTTCAGTCATACGAATTTTCCTCGGTGTGCACCGCCGCATAATCTTGACAAACGAATGGAGTCCAATCTTCTTTTGCAGCGTGATTTAATGCTTAATACAAAAAGTGATTTATTCTCCGCAATGTATTGACATAAGGGAATGCTTCACGCAGTTTAAAGGCTGTACTATTGAAACAAAACGGATATGCGAAACGATTCGTGTCTTTCATTGGATTGGAAGCAGTGCATATTCATTTGCCGTAATATATGAGTTATCCCATATAAATATTACTCAATAGAGTATCGATAAAGTTACTAATGCATTAGTAACTTTGCGTAATTATAAATCTAACCTAAGCTATCGTCGTATAAGCGCATATACATATATGTATGTATGTACATGTTTGAATATTGACTGACGTATCTCGACAGAGAATATCTCCATGTTGTCAAAGAGAGGAGAGAGAGAGAAAGAGAGAGAGAATGCGTGTGCGTGTCATATATTAATTTTATAATGTTTGACGTAAAACAATATGATTGTCATCGGTAGAATATTCTCGATGCGAGTTTCAATTTATCAAGATATCGATGTATAGTTTACGAAAAACGATAAAAGACCGTAATCTGATGGAATATGGCAACAGACATTCGTATTTAGATCGATTGATCGCATATCCTGATTCGCGATAGTGATACTGCTGCCGTATTATACCCTCTTTCGCTGGGATCTTTGTCCAATTCAGCTCTACGAACTGTATTCCAATACGAAATATCTGATTCCGAAGATTTACTCTGGTTCTATTTTTATGGTTCATACGAGATATTGACGATATACGATGAGAGTAATGGTGAATGATGTTGGTATGTCCATATAAAAAAAAAAATAAAATAAGGAAAATATCTTTTAAATTCGAACATTTCCTTGATATATTTTTAATGTATTTATCAGACCTTGCATTACGTGATTACATATTACAAATAAATAAAAGTAACATAATTTAATAGATACTAAATTTGAGATTGTTACTCACTAAATTAAAGTCGTCAATCGTAATTCAAAATCATAATATTGAGAAAGAGTTACTCTAAAGTTAATTATTTTATTAGAGATTAAGTTAGAAGCATCCATCGCAAAGGCATCTCAAGGTAAGTGTCGTCGTATGAAAAAATTTCTGGAATTTGAAAAATGAAACTAAATACCGCGCAAAGTATAATAATTTCGAGATACGAAATATTACAATACTTTTATAATATTTCCATAAAATTTTTTTTATGAAACTATAATATCTATATAGACTATAATAATTCATGTGTATATATATTTCCTGATATAATTCTATTTCAAATTTCGAGTCGCAGAAATATCGTTGAAATGATTCGAAATTCTACCTTCAGCGTATCCTTCTCTTCCATTGGTATACTAGTGCCTCCGCCAGGATCAGCTTCCGACGTGCTGACGTCACTAGCGAAGTCACATGTGACAATCGGTATCTGGACCGGCTGGTTCTCGATCGTGGCAACATTTTCCATAACTGATCCTGGAGGCTTCTTAGTGTCGGTTGCCGGTGTGCTCTGAGTGAAACTGGTCTGCCTGATGTCAGGCGATTCCGGCGGTACCACACGTGGACGGGGCTGCTTCCGGATGCCGCGACGCGCGCGAGCCTTGGCAGCGAAGTATATACGTATGTACACAAAGACCATGATGCAGGATGGGATGTAAAAGCTGCCCAGAGCAGAGTAAAGGACATACCCGATGTCCTCCGATAGCTGAAACAAAGAAAAACGGATTTCTTCGTTTCAATTTTGCTCTTGTATTTTGCGACAACTTGATATTAATTTTAATGTCGATACTAATTTTTCTATTTCTAACTTTTTCCAATTAGAAACATTTCTCTTAAATATAGCCCTCTTTAATACACACATAACATTTAGGTAGTACAGACAAAAGACAAATAGCTGCGCGCGAATAATTAGTTAATATACTCTACCCACTTTTACATTCTTGTAACTGTGTAAATGTATTTCAAGATTAACAGATGTACTTCATTATATCTCTTTATACATCAATCAACATTTAACGAATTTGCTGGTTATATGGGTCAATTGATTTTCTGTTGTCATTCGCACGATATGTTCGATATCTGTAAGTGGGTGCAGTAATTCTTCGAAATAAATCCCCTGTTCTGGAAAGCACTCTAACTTTGGCGCTCTATTTCTGAGAAGATCTGATTTCGATGTCGAGGATGCACAACACTTTTATAGCGGCGTTCAGAATGTGCTTAACTAGGTTTACGCCGCCGCACCCGCGACGGTACGGTACGTCCCGTATACGTCCTGTGCAACTACGTTACACTCTCGCTTTAAGAACCTCGCGCACGTCCGTCGAGCGTGAATATGAGTGCTAGAATTTAATTTTACTCCTCTCTCTCTCTCCCTCTTAATTCGCGAAGCAACGTGCGGTCGCGCGTATAACGCAGGCTTAAACTATATTCAAATTTATGTCGCATAACTCGCGTGCGAACGCGTTTCCTAGCATGCCTTTAACTTTACATGCACTAATATGATTATTGTTAGTAAGTGCAGTACAGCCTTAGTATCTGAGAAGTAAACTCGGTAGCGCGCTACTTGGCTAATCTCTCGTCACGTCGAATTACGAATGTGCGATTAAGCGTAAACGAGTGATTTAAATGTACAGTACGATTATATATTATATAATATGTATATGAAGAAAAAAACCTGATATGTATAAACCTATATCTGTATACAAACATAATACTTTTACATTATATTAGCATATTTATAAATTATTTTCTAAAATTAAAGTTGATATGGAAACTTGTAAATTTTTCTATAAATACATATGTATGTCATTTCTCGAGAAAATGTAGAGAAAATCAAGAAGTGTAATATCTTCGAATGAGAGTGCTATTTCGTGCACACTTTTTGCTAAAGCTTTTAGTTTTGTCTATGCTTTTAGCAGAATATTCACTTACAATTCATCCCTGAATTGTGCTGTATAATGGGCTCAGAAAGGACAGACTTCCATTAGGGGAGAAACAGATTCAGAAAATTTTAGCTCGTAACTAGGTTAATTAGATAATTTTAATTTAAGAATTTATTTATTCATAATATTCGTTCATGCCATTTTTATCTCATTCCAAAATATATGCTGCAGAATATTGTTGTAAATAACATGAATGTTGATGGTCATGCACATATTTCCAGGATTTAAATAAAGCATTTGTATTGCAGCACAGTAAATTTATTCGCTTATCAGCTTTATATCATAACAATTGTTGTATAGAGACATGCAAAGTGCATTAAATAATCAACATTAAAGAATCAAATTAAATTGACTTAAAAACCAAATGACTTAATTTAGTGAATTTAGTGACTTGATAGATTCGTCAGGTATTAATTTCTCAGAATCACTCGTGAAAAGAGGAAATTAAACGACCGTGGCATGAATTTAAATTCTTAGTAGACACTTAAACCCTCTGCATTCTTATTCCACTGCTTTTCATTATTTCCTCTCTTTCTTGCGTCTTCTATACGCATCTTGGCAACAAAATGCTCTCTTATTGCGACAAGAAAAGAAATGTACCATTTTCAAAGAAGCACCCAGGTAAGACGACGGGCGCAAATGCGCAAGATAATGAGTAATTTCTTCAGCTCGCGATTTAAATTTATAAAAGCGCGAAAGTCAATGTGCAGTGTCAAGCAGTTTATTTGTTAGTACACCATCGCGAAAATATAGAATTGTCTTTGTCTTCTTATGTTAAGGCTGATACAAGTTTGCAAAATACTTTTAATCATCAGACCACTCTGTGAAGGAAAAAGTGTTTATTTTTAGGAAAAGTTCTTCATGCGTAAAAGTTTTAGCTGACATAGAAAGTTTAAATTGTTAACAAGATAATTATCTTAAATCTCAACCATTAATTAAAAAAATTCTTGACAAAATTTTTCCTCTTCTCCATGAAGTTATTAATTATTGTATTTTCTAAAAAGTTATATCTTATTAAACAGAATCTTATTAAAATAAAAGTGTTTAAGAAAAGAATATTCATTATATAGTTCTTTTCTTAGTAATAGTAGGTAACATAACCGACGATATATGTAAAACCTAGGTGAATTATTTCTCCACTTTAAAAGAATTCTCTCCATTTGGGCATGGAATTGAAGAGCAAGCTGGAGAGCCGTCGAGGCAAGTAATCTGATGTCATTTTCGTCGAATAAAAATTATTCACGCTTTCCGTCGTTCGCGAGATTTGCACATTTACATTTTGATGATCTATCAGAGTAAAAAAAAGATTTACTGTGATTCAGCAAGAATTTTCAAACCAATAATCTTCTTGTCGCATAGCGAGCCACTAATACAAACTTGAATACACACGAAATAACGAACAATCCCACGAATGAAAATTCATGAAAATATGAATAGTAAGGATGGCCTGAGTGGAAACGAACCGTATGTAACCAGACAATGCAGACTGAAAGCGAAATTCGTCGGAAAAACCATCAGAAATCTGTGAAACGTTCCCAAAGGAGATACTTGTTATGTACGACAATATATTGTTTCGTTGACGGAAAAACAAAAATAGCGCTGATACTGTAATTGAATCATGGAATCATGTCGAATATCAAAGATACATATAAGCTCAGGAATTTCTTATCGTAAGATAAGAAGAACGTCGAAAGGATTGCCGATTGCTTTAAACTTTAGAATAAATATTATGAGTACTTACAGGTAAACAATCAAGAACATGTTTCGGGTGTTTGCACGTATCAATCGATTGAAAGTATGAATTTGCGTTATCTATAACCTGTTAATAATCTATATATTGTTAATAAGATAAAACATTACCTTGGAGGATGATAGGTAAGTTTCCTCCGTGGATTATTTAGTTAGTTATAAAATTCGAAATATTAACTAAATAATCCACGGAGATTGTTGAAAAAGAATCTTAAAAAGAGAGAGAGAGAGACAGAAAGCGAAGATAAGAAATGATTCAGCACGCTTTCCATTCAATTTATAATGAGTAATCTTTGCCATTCTTATCTGACGTCTTAACCGTAATATATAACACTGTTAGAAATGCTTCCTTTATATGTAAATAAAGTTCGTGGTTATGAACGAAATTAAAAATAATGAATGATTTAACTGAAAATTAAGTTACAGTAGTTACTTAAATGTAATGAACTAAGTTGCAGTAGTTACTTAAATGTAATAAACGCGTACATTAAATTTCATAAAATTTTATGACAAGTACATTAAATTTCATAAAATTTCATAAAAAATACATAAAATTTTATGTACATGTACACAAATATTATACTTTTCAGTTATAAATACATTAAATTTAATATCATGAAAAAATTGAATTCAAATTGTGTAACGTAAAAGTATATTAAATTTCATAAAATTTTTAACAGGGTACATTAAAAGTTAATAAAATTTAAGAACATTATTAACAATAATTATATGCCGAAAACACAACACTTGCATGTAAATACACGGTCCGTGTGCTTGTGATAAATTGAATGTCTTTAGTTTTGTATGTTCTTGTGGCAGAAAGAGAATGATAGGATAAATGAGGTTAGAAATAATCGGTGCGAAAAGCCGGCAAGAACAAAATGAGGGAATTAAAGGTGGGCAAGTATTTCATCTCTGAATGGAAAAGATTAGAGAATTGTTTCAGTACATTACGCTCTTCGACTTTTTTTTCTAAGAGCTTTGGAACTCCTCGCTCTAGATGAGTAAAATAATAAATGAATATATGAATGAATGATTATTGTGACTTCAAGATATTATGTAAAAAGGAAATGTTTTTTTTTAAATATTTATATACTTAAACAAATAATAACGCGTTAGATAAAATCAATCATCTATTTAAAAAAATTCTGCCAAAGAAGCAATAGGATATATTGTGCATCAATCGTTGTATACACAGGAGATATTGCTTTCTTTATTTATCTTAAAAATAAACAGGTGCCAATTTACGCCCGATATATGAAACATGCAGCCAAAAAGAATTGACTTATCGGCACTCCATATATATGCATATCGAACGTTTTGGAATGCTAAAGGTTAAAGGCGTGCAATTTTGAAGCGGAGTTGCAAATGTCAATTCGTCCTACTTCCTTTATGCTTGCTGGACGTTGTATAATTAGGATTGGATGGAAAATTGGGGCAAGTGGTGCACTGGAAGCTTCTCGTTTGCATTGGTTAACTACAGTGTCAAGGCCAAGTTGATATGCAAAACGATTAATGTCGCTTGGAGTAGGAAAGGGAGAAATAGTGTTTGTACATCATGTCGCTCTCTTATATTTGTATTATCTCTTATAGTTCTATTTGTTCTACTACATCACAAAAGCGTACTATTCACCGAAGTCTAGGCACGTTCGTGTTCCATAGAATCTGGTATGCGCAACATATATTAGTCAAAAACACTAAATTTTATCTTTATGCCGCGCGTTACGCTGACAATAAGTGTAATAGCTACCGTTTGCAAAACTACACAAACGTTCAATTTCGGTAAACGAAGAATATTCTTGTTCGTTCTCTCAAACAACTTCATTTTCTGATTCAATTAAAATTTTTCTCTTCTTATCCATTTCGATTCTCTTATTTTACTTTTTCTTATTCACTTATTCTCTAATTCACTTTCTTTCATCAACATTCCTTTTAATTTCGTTCTCGGTATATGCGTCCGTGTGTAGCATACTATTTCTCTCCGTTTCTCGTAATTGCTTTTTTAAGCTAACGT